ATAAGTTGGAGGGGGGAAGAAGGAGGACGAGGAGGAGGACGAAGAGGAGGAGGACGAAGAGGAGGAGGAGGAGGAGGGCACCCTCCCCCTCCAACTTATGGTGGTGGTGGTGGTGGTGGAAAACAGGCCCATCACCCGAGGGCCCGCGTGGCGGACGTCGCGGGGCGGGCTGCGAGTTCCGCGCCGCGTCGGCCGCGGCTTCCCAGAAAGCCCGGCTGTACGAGGCGCCGCGCCGGGCCTCGGCGACCGCGCAGAGGGGGGAAGGCTTCTTAGAAGCACCCTTGCTCCTTGGAAGGCGCGGGCCTTGTCTGCAGATGTAGGGCCCGCGCCCTCTGAGAAGCAGCTTCCTTCCCAGAAGCCTACCCTGGGTTACGAGTGCGTGGTCTGCAAACCTCCTGCGAGCTCCCAGACGCCAGAGAGCCCCCAGTAAGCCGCGCGACACGCGCGACACGCAGGGTTTACCACGTCAGCCCACAGGAGGCTCAGAGCACAGCGCCTCGCGAACGAGGGCAGGGGCGTTTTCTTTTGAGCCCTCGACTTCCCCCCCCCCTTCCCCCTCCCCCCCCCCCCTCTGCGCGCCGCCACGCGCAAGTGCTCTTGCTCCGTGCCGGTGGCCCGAGGGGGTCCGCGGCAGAGGCGCGTGTCCAGCCGCGCCCCCGGGGCACCGACCTCATCGGGGACCCCTGGCACGCGGCGGGTGTGGACGCATGTGCGGGCCCTGGGGGGGCCGAGGTCCCCAAGCATTGAATCGGGCATGTCCCTCTACAGGAGGAGTCTTCAAAAGCAGTGCAACCATAGTCTGGTTTGACACTATCTATATATCTGTTTTGATTGTCTCGAATTTGTCATCCAAAATCCGCCTGTAGGAGGACATGCCCGACCCAACCCAAGCATCGAACCCAGGCGGCGGTCATGTACAGATCCTCGCCTCGCACGAGGGCGGAAAGGAAAGCAGGCGCTCCGCTCTTCGCGCGGGGTCGGTCTGGCGTGGAGGACTTTCCAGCATGGGCTCCAGGAGGGGTCCGGGGATTGATTTTGACCGGATTGTTTGATGTGTAGGTCGATCGCTCCAGGGCGTTCTAGAGAGTTCTCGGAGCATTCTCGGACGCTCTGTGTCACCAGCGCAGGGCTCGCTTTGATTCCTCCGATTCGAAGCTATTCGACTTCGATGGCCTCCGACTCCGATTCGATTCGACTTGGGGTTCCGATTTGAGTGCTTATTTCCCACTGGGCGCATACAAATCTGCCGATGTCCGCCGGTTCGACTTATCCCGACACGGCTGCCGCTTTCCGCCGATCCGATTCATGCCGATCGCCGATCCGATAGCCGGTCTGGCTCACCTGCCCGCGGGGGCGCACAAATGATCGCGTGTCTCCCGCCCTGGCCTGGTCCGCAGAGGTGGCACTTTTTTCCGTGACGCTGGCCCGAGGCCCCGCGTAGCGGACTTCGCGGGGCTGACGCGAATCCACCAGTGGCGACGAGGGCCTCCCAGGAGGCACAATCAAGGGAAAACGAGGGAAGGGTACCTAGAGGCATGGGCACCTGTTCCTGCTCCGGCCCCCTCCCCAAGGGGGTGGGGCAGCCTGCTGCCAGCTGGGGCTGCGTCGGCGATGGCTGCGGCTGCGGCGGCTGCTGCTGCGGCGGCCTCCGGGAGGTGCAGCTCTGGGCCACGGGGCACCACGGCTCTCCGCGAGCCGGCCGACGGCCCCCCGAGCCTCGGGCGAGACACACGGGCAGCCACAGTGGAGACCAGTCCACAAGAAACCTTCCACAAGAAACCCGACCCTGAGACACCAGGACGTCCGTGGATTTTTGGTGTGGGAACGTCGCGCATTCCACAGCAGAACCATCGAAACCCAAGAAACCCAAGGCACCCTGGAGGCAAGCAGGGTTTTTCTTGGCATGGGTCTCCACCGTAAGCTCTCGCGCCTCGCGCTTCGGAGAGCGCAGGAGAACTTCGCGCTCTCTCGCGCGAAGGGGGACGACGGCCCTTGGAGGCACCGAAGGTGGTGCGCCCGCTTGAGCTGCCATCAACTTCGGACGCCCCAAACTGGGTACGGAAAAAGGGGGGCCCCGCGAAACATCTAGTCTACAACCGATAGCGGTCGTTGTTGGGCAAACGAACTTGTGTCTCCAATGGACAACGACCGCGTCGACGCCGACCGTGGGTCCTGGTCATAATGAACAGAACTTGCAGTCGGTCTTCGTGCCCGTTCTTTCCATACCCATGCCTGCCCGCAGCCGAACGTCAAAGAGGAGGTGGCATTTTGTGGATGGATCTCTTACCGTGGAGGCCCGACCGCAAGAAACCCTCCACAAGAAACCCAACCCCGAGATCCCGGAACGTCCACTGATTTTTGGCGTGGGGACGTCGCGCCTTCCACAGCAGAACCATCGAAACCCAAGAAGCCCAGGGCACCCTTCGGGTCGGGCGAAAGGGGGGGATAGCAAAGGGGGGGTTTGAGAATCAGCTCACGTAGCTGATTTTCCCGGCGCCTCCCGGCGCCGGAGGCGGCTATGTGTCGAGGAATGGGCTCCTCGGTGAGGCAAAATCAGCTGCATGCAGCAAATTTCGTAACCCCCCCTTTCCCAATCCCCCCCTTTCGCCCGACCCGAACCCTGGAGGCAAGCAGGGCGCTTCTTGGCCTGGGCCTCCAACTGTGAGCTCTCCGCCGCCCCGTGGCGGCGCGCGCCGCGGGCGGCGGATGGCGCGGCAAAAAAGGCCACGGGCGCACGCGGCACGGACAGAGCAGCTCCGCACGCGTGCCGCATCCCAGACCCCCGACGCCATGGATTTGGCGCGCGGTCGCCAAATCCATGGATTTTGGGGGAGGTGCCCTCCCCAAAATGCGGCCGGTGCCGCCCCGCTCGGCGGCGGAGGTCCGCGATTCCCAATGGAAACGGGACCCGTCGCTAATCCACGCCTCCTTGATCCATGTTTGCGATCGCCTGATTATTTCATGACGTCGACCATCATCGGGGTCGGCCAAGAGGGGGGCGTCCAAGAGGGGGGGGGCGCAAATCATGGCCGGCGGCATGTGCGCGGCCCAGGGGCGGGGCCAGGGACGTAAGGAAATAAGAAGATGCACCATGAAACCTGGGGAGATATCGTGGCCCCCGCCATGATATCCACCCCCCCCTAGTCATCACCCCCCTCTTTGCCGCCCCTGACCCCCGGGGGTCTCGACCCATTCCCTCGGACCGATGTTTCATCCTGAGCGGTTTCGTTGACGGCCCCGCGGCCTGGGTACGGGCCTGCAGCGGCCGAGAATAGCGGAAAACCTCGCGTCGGATTTTTTTTGTCATGACTCGAGGGGGTGCGGGATGCTAGAGTTAAGTCGGGCACGTCCAAGTAGGAATATTCAAAATTGTCCCAGTGCGACCCTACCTAGGAGTTGGAGCCTGTAGGAAAGCAACATTAGTAGGAGCGGTAAACGCCGTCCTCCTCCTTCTCCTCATCGTCCTAGTTGTAGCAGTAGCAGTAGCAGTAGTAGTAGGCAGTAGTAGTAGTAGTAGTAGTAGTTGTAGTAGTAGTAGTAGTAGTAGTACGTAGTAGTAGTAGTAGTAGTAGTAGTAGTAGTAGTAGTAGTAGTAGTAGTAGTGTTGTAGTTGTAGTAGTAGTAGTAGTAGTAGTAGTAGTAGTAGTAGTAGTAGTAGTAGTAGTAGTAGTAGTAGTAGTAGTAGTAGTAGTACCGCCGACGCCACGCCGTACGTGAAGCAGCAGCAGCAGAAGCAGGCAGCAAGTCGCCGAGACAACAGCAAAAGCAAGCAGGCACGGAGATGAGGGCTGTGCTATGCAGTGCTATGCTATGCTATGCTATGTTATGCTATGCTGCGCAATGCTATGCTGGGCTAGGCTAGACTAGGCTATGCTATGCTGCGCTATGCTATGCTGCGCTATGCTGCGCTATGCTATGCTATGCTATGCTTTTGCTGTGCCTTCGCTTTTGCCTTCACTTTTGAATTGACTTTTGCTTTTGCTTTGCACCCAGGGAGCGCAACTGGGGGAACCGCGCGTTTGCTTTTACCTTTGCTGTTGCTTTTGCTTGGGTCCCAGGGGACTGGGGGGAACCGCCCGGGCGGTTTGCACTGCCCGGCCCCTTTAAGTTAACAGGGTAAGAACCCTTCTAGGCAGAGCCTAGGTAGGGAATTAGTGGCAAAAGTCATATGGGGACGATGATTCGACTAGTTGTTGCTGTGTTTGCGCATTGTTGACTATTCATAAGCTATCGTCCAAAATCCGCCTGTAGGAGGACCCGCCCTACCCGATGCTGGAGAGCAAGAACACGGCCAAGCCCCGGGACAGCGAAGCACTGACAAGGCAGCTCACCATTGGCACGGGGACTCTCCGGCATGCCCGCCCGCGGCCGAGCGTCGAAGAGGGGTGGCAGTACCGTCAGGTCGGGCGTGTCCTCCTCCAGGCAGATCTGGGAGGAAACGAAAAAAGAATAGTCAACCAGAGACTCAAGAACGGCCAGACAGTGGCCGAACAATCGTCCCCTGATTGTTGTCTGGCTGCCTTTGGAGATTCCCCCCCTGCAGAGGTCGGGAGCGGCCACGAGGGGGGCGCCCAAGAGGGGGGCAGGCAAATCATGACCTGCGGCATGTGCGCGGCCCAGCGGGGGGGCCAGGGACGTCATGAAACAAGAAGAGGCGCCAATAAATCTGGGGAAATATCATGGCCCCCGCCATGATATCCCCCCCCCCTAATCATCACCCCCCTCTTTTCCGCTCCCGAAGAGGGACATGCCCGACTTCACACTGGCAAGGTGATGCCGCACCTGCCCGCGGCCGAGCGTCGGAAGAGAGGCGGGCAGCACTGTGGCCCGCTCGTCGCCCCTGCCATCGGGGGAGCCTCAAAAAAGGGAGCGCCCAAGGGGGGGGGGGGCGCACCAGTATTGCGTTCGGGTGACATTAAGGATTGCCACGCCGTAACTAATCACGATCATTCGCTGTGTTGGACACCCGGAGGTGGTGCTCTCGCACGATTGTCAGGGCACGACAATCACGTTCATCCGCGGCATTGACGTCCCAAGAGGGGTGCTTCGGCACGATTGAAAATTCTCAGACGGTTGCCTACTAATGGACCACTTTCCGCAATGATAGCGAGTTCTTGCAGGGCCCTATGAACAGGAAACTTGGAGGGAAGGTGTATGCTCCTCCTCCTCCTCCTCCTCCTCCTCCTCCTCCTCCTCCTCTTCCTCTGTAGTGTACGTGCTCCACGGAAGCCAGCGTCGATGCCACTCGCCCAACACAAGACGAGGCCCCACCGCGTTGGACCTCCTCGCCTGCCCGAGCGGGCAGCTCAGAACCAAAACGCCCGCTCAGCCAGCCCGGGCCCCAGCGCACTTCCCGCTGCTGTTTTTGAAGGCGTCCAGGGACACACACACACACACATATAAATAGACAGAACCTCCCAAGATTCCCCAAAGGTTCCGCATTTCCTGGAGCTTCATCTTCCCCTCCGCTTCCCATATGTTCGCACGTGTTCCGGGGAATCGACGGTACTTGTGCCTGTGTGTGTGCTTTCCCCTCCTGAATGTTCTGTCGCGGTCGCGGCGCTCGCGCAAAGATGGTCGAGCTAAAAAGGGGCTGCGAAGAAACAACTTCGTACCGGTCGCTCCTCCCACAAGGGAGAAGGGGGAGGTCGGTCGGTACTCGCCATCTGATCCCGATCGTACCAGTGAGTGTGCATAAGATGTATGCTGCGAAGAAACAAGCTCGTAACGGCCGCTCCTCCCACAGGAAAGAAGGGGGAGGTCGGTCGGTACTCGCCATCTGATCCCGATCGTACCAGTGTGCGTGTGTGTGCATAAGATGGATCGGCGTGCGCGACTGTCGCACTGTCGTAACCTGCGTTGTCAAAACCTGGGAGGCTGCCACAAACATTCGCCAAAAACGGGGGCACCGGCCACTCGTTGCCGAGAAGAGGGAGAATGACGAGGAGGAGGCGAGATCAAACATCAGCGAAAAACAAACCAAAACAAACAGAATTCAACACAGAAAACGATTGGGTTTGTTCGAAGGTTTTTCGGGGGATTCCCGGGAGCCTCCAGGGGAAACCCTCCAAATTGCAATTCGGGGTAACCACCCCGGGAACCCCCCATTTGGTTTTTGTTCGGGTTTTTCCTTCAAAATTGTTTCAAGTGCTTTTCTGGGGGAACCCCCCACCCCCACCCAACACGTTTTTCTTGTACTTCTTTTCGGAGAAATCCGGGGCCCCACACATAACAAAACCGATCACTAGAGACCTTCCACAAAAAACCCAACCCTGAGATCCCAGGACGTCCAACGATTTGTGGTGGGGAAGCGTCGCGCTTTCCATAGCAAGACGACCGAAACCCGAGAAAACCAGAGCACTCTGGAGGCGAGCAGGGTGTTTCTTGGCATGGGCCTCCACTGCCTATCTGCCCCCAAAAAAACACACACTCGAAAAGCCTACGAGCACCCTTCCCCCAACGGAGGCGCGCAGAGGGCGCCTCGGCGGCTGGTGCTGCTGCTGCTGCTGGTGCGGGGCCGGGCTGCTGGCGAGCTGCGCGCGCGGTGGGCGCGGGGCGGAGGCGGAGGCGGGAAGCACGCCGCGGCGTTGAGGCGGGGACGGACCCTCCCCTCCCCCTCCCCCTCCTCCGCCTCCGCCTCCGCCTCCTCCTCCTCCTCCTCCTCCTCCTCCTCCTCCACCCCTCTTCCTCCACCCCTCTTCCTCCTCCTCCTCCTCCTCCTCCTCCTCCTCCTCCTCCTCCTCACTCCTCCTCCTCCGCAGCACGCCGCCGCCGCGCCGCCGCCTCCCCTCCGCCTCCGCCTCCGCCTCACTCCTCCTCCGCCTCCTCCTCCTCCTCCCTCCTCCTCCTCCTCCTCCTCACTCCTCCTCCTCCTCCTCCTCCTCCCCTCCCCCTCCCCCTCCCCTCCCCCTCCCCCTCCCCCTCACCCCTCCCTCCCCTCTCCCCCTCCCCCTCCCCCTCTCGTCCTCCCCCTCCTCGTTCTCTCTCTCCCCCCTCTGTCTCCCCCTCCTCGTCCTCCCCCTCCTCCTCCCCTCCTCCTCCCCCCTCCCCCTCCCCCCCTAACCTCCCACCTCCTCCTCCTCCTCCTACTCCTCTCCGCCTCCGCCTCCGCCTCCTCCTCCGCCTCCGCCTCCGCCTCCGCCTCCGCCTCCTCCTCCTCCCCCTCCTCTTCCTCCTCCTCCGCCACCTCCTCCTCCTCCGCCTCCGCCTCCGCCTCCGCCTCCTCCACATCCGCCTCCGCCTCCGCCTCCGCCTCCGCCTCCTCTTTCGCCGCCGCCTTGGGCCTGGGGTCCCCCTTGGAGGTGGAGGTGGGGAGCCACTCGGCTGCCCAGGGCCAGAAGGGTGAGAAAGGAGGGGGGTCAAGACACCCTCGGGTCACGAGAAGATCACGGCGGAAGTCTTTTACAATTCTCGGCCTTGGGACAGTCAGAAAACGACTCGGGATGAGGAGCTCGTCCTGAGGAAGTGGTCCATACCTCTGGGGGTCGACGTTGCGAACAAAATCATGACGTCGGGGGTCTGGGGAGGGGGGGAAAGGACGGAGGGAGAGAGGAGGAAGGGGGGGGGAGGAGGGGGAGGGAGGTATCAGGAGGAGCGAGGGAGGGAGGTACCATAGGAAGCGAGGGAGGGAGGAGACTCTGGAGGAGGAGGAGGAGGAGGAGGAGGAGGAGGAGGAGGAATGACGCCACAGTCGCTGACTTAGGTTCGGGCAACTAAAAAAATGGAGGAGGAGGAGGAGGAGGAGGAGGAGGAGGAGGAGGAGGGCGGGGAAGCGGAGCGGGGGGGCAGGCGCGAGGCGTGCACCGACTGGACGCGGGCTGGGCTGCCGATCCCCTGTTGGCCGGTCTCTCACGGCCGGGCCGCCGAGGTCTTGCTGCCTCCAGGCTCTCCCTGGGCCCACAGATTCGGGCGGGTGGTACACGCCTGTCGGAAGAAGTAGGTAAACACATGAACTAGGAAGGCGGATAAAGTAGATTGGGTTTGGGCCCTCCCAGAGAATACCAACGCACAGCATAACCAGATCGACTCTTGGAGTAGGAAGGCGCGTGAAGAAGATTGGGATCTGGGAGTCCCCAAATACCTACTTTCAACCCCCGGCGTGTAATGGAGGGTGACCCAAAGGAGGGGTGGAAAAAAATACGCTAAAGGGGCGCTTTAGGGCTTCTCCTGGGCCCCTGCTGGCTCCACAAGGAGCCCCGAAGGGCCCCTTTAGGGCCCTTCCCCGGAGATCCGATGTCGCGATTGCTTCAATACGTGGCTCCTCGACGCCTCGACCCATGCCCCAGGACCAGTTTTTCATCCTGGGTCGTTTGGAGGTCCTGAGGCCCGGCGAGGTTCCCTGGAGGCCGAAAGCTGCGATAAACCTCCGTCTTGATTTTTTCAATACGTTGGATCTCTGGGTTTCTTCACCCTCCAGTTTTTCATCCTGGGTCGTTTGGAGGTCCTGGGGCCCGGCGAGGTCCCCTAGAGGCCGAAAGCTGCGACAAACCTCCGTCTTGATGTTTTCAATACGTTGGATCTCTGGGTTTCTTCGCCCCCCATGTGGGCCACCCCTGTTACCACCCGCCCGACAGATGCCGACGCCTCACCCTTACCGGCGCCGCCTCTGAGGGGCAACGGCAGGGGGAGATTCGCTCGGGGGGGGAACGTACAGTAGGGGGGGCTCGACCACAAGAAGCCTTCCACAAGAAACTCAACCCTGAGATCCCAGGGCGTCCATTGGTTTTTGGTGTGGGAGCGTCACACTTTCCATGGCAAAACCACCGAAGCCCAAGAAACCCAGGGCACCCTGGAGGCAAACGGGGTGTCTCTTGGCATGGGTCTCCACTGTAGGAATAAACAATCGTGCAAGCATAAACTTCCGACGCTCGCGGATTTCCTGGATCGGCGCTCGGCCCCCCTGGCGGCGCCCCCCGACAATTCATGGTTATGCCATCTGGTTTCTCTTCTTCGCGAAACCTCGATCCGGCATCGCCGGTAGGTCTCCGAGAGCGATGCCGCACGTTCCCTGGCTGGTTGGGCTGTTGGGGCCCTATCGGCGCTGAGTGGGAGATTGGGGGCCGATGCGTCCCCACCTGAGCATACAGTGGAGATCCATGCCAAGAAACACACTGCTTGCCTCCAGGGTGCCCCGGGCTTCTTGGGCTTCGATGGTCTTGCCATGGGAACCCCTGACGCTCCCGCACCAAAAACCCATGGACGCCCTGGGGTCTCAGGGTTGGGCCTCTTGCGGGTGGATGGCTTGCTGTGGTCGAGCTCCTGCTGACCCCCCCCCCCGCGTTGCCTGAAGTCGAGCGTGTCCCCCTACAGGGGGATCTTCGACGAAAAATAAAAAATACACCAAAAATAATCCAAAAATAGTCCCAAAATAGTCTGGGGACTATTTTGGTTGTATTTTTGTTGACCTTGTTGGGGTATCTTTGGGGTATCTTTTATTTTTCGTCGAACATCCCCCTGTAGGGGGACAGGCCCGACTTGATCGTTGCCCCCGAGCCTTCCGCCGACTCTGCGCCTGCAGGCCCGCCGCCGCTCCGCTTCCGCGGGCCACCGCCGCGGGCGGGCCCCTCCCTGGAGCGCCTCGGGAGGAGGCCGGCCGCGCAGCCGCGCCCGCGCCCGCTCCCCGGCGGACCCGCCGCTGCTCTGCCTCCGCCGGCCGCCGCTGAGCACGAAACCCTCCCGAGCGCCCACGTCGGCGACACCGCCGACCCACAGCACCAGGACGCAGGAGAATGGTGCAACACGGGCCCTGGGAGCTATGTCGGCACTCTGCGGGCGGGGCGCGGCCAGCGAAGCCGGCCCAGGATGGGCCGAAGGGGGAGGATGCAACGGTAACCCTGGGGCCAATCGCGCCCGTCCAATCGCTGGCGCGAGCGTTCGCTCTCCGCTGCAACGCAGGAGGCCCCAACAGTGCAGCACCGAGGAGGGCCAGTGACGGTGTGCTAGTGCGCCTGCGGCACTGTTCTGCTGCATGCTCTTTGTTTATGGTTCTCTACACTACTGT